TTATATATATATGTATGTATGTATGTATACATATATATGTATCTATGTATGACTGTGCGCATGCATTCCAACGAGCGAGTGAGCACAATTGTTATTATCATTGTCATTTTCAAAGCAGACTGGAAACCCGCGCACCACACGGCCACCCGCTCGCCGGGATCCGAACACCACACTCGGGCGCAGAGCGACTGTGCCGCACGCCCAGCCTCCCGGAGACAACTAGCTACCTGCTGGTTCGAGCGGCCGGCCGCTGTGGGCAGGGCTCGCCACGGGCACGGTGTTGCCCTCAACCGAACGCGGCTTTTGCTAGGTTCCCCTTGAACGGCGCTCGCTTCGGGCTGGCGAGGCCGACGATCGGGCTCTGCGTATCGGCAGGGAGCTTGGCGATCGGGAAAGGTTCCTTCTCAATGCGTATCGGAAGCGAAAGGGTCGGGACCTCGGAGGCAGATCCCGCGACATCCTGAAGGACAGGAGCAGCATCCTCTCTTCGCAGGGCTACAAGGTGTGCATTCAGAGTGCAGCAGGTTTACTCTTGACCCTCGGATTTTATGAGTCCGGGGCAGGGAAATGAAATTAACATTGAGCAAGTCACGTCTGCAAGAACTGATGGCTTCCTGCTGCATTGGGCATCAGACAACTTTTGCAAGAACAGACTCTAATGCAATCTTGCTTGCAGAGTAAATAAGAACACCGTAGATTTCTCAGGATATCTTAGGGTGTTGTTAGCAAGACAAACTTGAAGCCCATGTGATTTTTTATTCACTCTGCATCGCAACGTCCACCTCTTGGCACAAGTGAAACTGCTAACATGCTGCATAGCATAGAATTTAAAATTCTTGCCTTTCGACGCTGTGCCCAAGCGCTACATTTTAGCAAAAAAGCAGTGAAGATGGCAACCTCCTGCCAGGTTAACTCCGCCCCTCAGACCCTTGGCTCCTCCCAGGCCTTTTGGGCTCCGCCCTTCGTGAAATTTATTCGGCGAGTATTCGTTATCATCACGTCACTCTTCTTCCTCTAAATACCACATTAATACGGTCTAATGAAGCGATACCCTTCCCTCGGCCGGAGCAAGCGCAACCGGCGCCCTGATGCCCAAAGCCCAGCCTCGGACGAGCGGCGCGCGCCAGCGATTCACTTATCTCTTCCAGCGGAGTTCAGGGTCAATGACCCCGTGGGACAGCCGCAGCGAGACCGAGTGATAACTTTCGCGACGCGGAGAGGAAAAAATACCGCGCGCTGTGGCAATAGCGGTAGATTAATGAGACAACTAGGTTAAGGACAGGAGTCGGCAGGCCCGGGCGCCGCGGGCACGTGGGGAGGCGCTGCTTTCGGCGGGCGGGACGGAGCCTTCTCACGAGGGGCGGCGGCGGGCGTGGGCGACGTGGGCGCCGTCGATAAAGCCGTGGCCTTGGACAAGGGACATGAGATATACTGGAAATAGTAAGGGAAGAGAGAGTAGGAAAGAGAAAGAGTAAAAGGGGAGAGAGAGAGCGAGAATAAATAAATATAATTTTCTTCTGTTTCATTTTTCTACTTCAAAGGCCTTTTCTAACCGCTTTTCGTACGTTCTTCCTATCTGAGCTTCGATCTCCACATTTCCCTACTTCATTTCACAAACGTCAAACATTTAAGTACCGCACTTTATCACAGATCTCTTGCTAATGTAAAAACTTTTTACAGTGATGCGATTCTTATTCCTAGAGAGGCAGGTCATCTGAGGAGGTAGAATGAATCTCGAGACAAGTTATTTTCAAAGTTGATCAAAAGTCGAATTATCTGATTTGAAACTGGAGGTTCATCTCATAGGCCGACGCCCCCCCCGCCCCCATGGGACGGAAGGATGGGAGAGGAATAACGAAAGGGAAGAATGACATTACAGATAATGGCGATGATAATGATAATGGAGATGAAGATGGTAATCATAAAAGGTCTTTGATGACGACATTGATCAGCAAGAACGTAATGAACATGGAAATAGTTTTGTGTCTATAAGATAGGTTATATATAAATGTGAAATCCTTCCACAGTCCCGGACCGAAGGCAGCTGTAAGCGAGCACGAAAACATTAAACCATTAAACGTAGCGACTTACACACACACACACACACACACACACACACACACACACACACACACACACACACACACACATATATAATATATATATATATATATATATATATATATATATATATATATATATATATATATATATATATAAACACGTCGGCCTCCCCAAAATTGTTTCCTTGGCGGCCGCTCTCTTGGGAAGCGCCGTCTTTCGTCGCCAATTCTCTCCCGTGAAGATTTGTTGCTCTCTTTCCCGCGATCCATCTTCGTGAGGCTTAGAGAGAAATCAAGTGTGAAGATTATTATACAAAGGGACGGATCGAGACGGCGGGCGGCGGGATGGGCGGCGGGGACGGTGTTCGAGGCGATGGGCGCTCCTCGCGGGCCTTCGGGGGGATGTTGGCAGGAGGGGCGTCGGGATAGGGTGGATACACGTGGAAAGGGGAGAGGGAGAAGAGAGAGAGAGAGAGAGAGAGAGAGAGAGAGAGAGAGAGAGAGAGAGAGAGAGAGAGAGAGAGAGAGAGAGAGAGAGAGAGGAGAGAGAGAGAGAGAGAGAGAGAATTGGGGATAGATAGATTTTATTTTTTGTAAGTATGTCAGTACAACAAGTTTATGTGTAAACAAAAGTACATTTCTTACTCGAGCATAGAAGCACAGCGAGAGGGCATGCAGAAAGAATTGAAAATGTTTTCTATTGTTTCCTTGGAAAGGTTATCGTAAACTATAAAGCACATTTTCCCTTCCTTTGTTTCCTTCTTTCCACTTTTCAACGGAAAAATCCTTGTTTTCACACAGAGAAAATGGAGAAAGTTATATTTTGTGCATTTTGCTCTGCCGTTGTCACCTCGTCCAGGGTCCGTATTTTGGCTGACAATGCGTCTCAGCGATCGAAACCTTCAGCCTCAGCTGTCATGAACAGAGGGACGAAGTCGTGCGCTCGCTGAAAGAAGCGACAACACGTTATTTGCTCCACTTTAAGGTTCAAGGCTGTTCACTTTGGCGCGGGCCGAGCGTGGCCTATAATGCGGCATGTAAACAGGAAACAAAGGGCACCATCAGGTTCTGGAGGAAATCGTGAGCGGCGAGGAGCTCGTCACATGGGCAAGACATGCCACCCGAGATGTTCATTCGCTCGAATATGAACGGTACAGCCACTAAAAAAATCGTAAGTTACCCACTGAAGCTGTACCCCGCGCTGGCCCCGCCCCTCGCGTCCAATTGGCTGGGAGGAGCAACACCCCCCAGAGGCCGGACTATATATTCAGCGATGGCTGTACACTTCTCAGTATCATCAGGTTCAAGATGATGAAGTCATATGTATTAGGGTGTTTAAGTGAGCTCGTCGAGAGCTTCCTGCTCCAAAACCACTGTTATGTGCTGGTGTTCTTAACAGTCCTGCTTTCGACCCGGTATATCCTGGGGACGAACACCAACCTGCCGCCGGGCCCGTGGGGGATTCCGGTCCTGGGCTACCTCCCCTTCCTCACTAAGGATATACACGTCTTCATGATGAACCTGTCCAAGAAGTTCGGCTCCATCTACAGACTCAACTTCGGCAACAAGCTGCTGGTGATCCTGACCGACCCGAAGGTGATCCGCGAGGCCTTCCGCAGGGAAGAGTTCACGGCGAGGCCCTCCAACGCGCTCTACGACATCTTCGACGGATACGGTGAGTAGTCGCACGCTGCCGCTGGCGCCTTGCGAGCTGTCAGATTTCGACATGAGTTTTCGAAGGCCTTAACCCTTTCATTTCCTCGGGTGGAGTTTGGTCTCGGAGGCGTAGCTCCGTTCACTCGGGTCATCTTGCTATCAAATGTCAGGAATGTGTCCTGTGGCCCAGCGGGTAAAAAGAATCAGTTCAGTTAATTGACATAGAAAGTTGCCCCGAAGCGCTGACAGTACACATGTTTTTAGGTCACGAAGCAGACCGAAGGAGTAAGCAGCACCTTTGACATTTCAATCTTGCTAGAGAGCTTTGTTATTGTCTCAGCTGCCTGAACAGAGTAGGGTCATTCCCAAAGGCTTAGGGCACGCCCGAGAGGCTCAGGCGCGAAGTCAGTAAGGGCGGCGGGCGGCAGGGCGGTGACGCAACCGCCAACCTCCTTCCCTCGAGCCTCATCTGCCTCATGACTCACTTCAGAGCCGATTCGCGGGCGGCCAGAGGCGACTCATGCAGCCTCGTGGCACAAAATAAACAGAATGTTGAAGCTGGGCCTCGGGGCCGCCTCGCAGCCACGCCAGGCGGGTTTATTTTTTCATGAATGGAGATGAAAGTACCGAGCGGCGGCCACCATTTCCTTCACTCAAAAGTGAGAGTGACCTTCGCTCCAAAGCCTTTGCTTACTCGCGCGGGAGTCTGCGCCGAGCAACTCTTTCACTCTTGCCTCTCGCCTCCCGCGCTGTTTGTCAACACTCGCTTTGATCACGATGCTCGTAGCACACACACACATGCAACACACACACACACACACACACACACACACACACACACACACACACACACACACACACACACACACACACACACACACACACACACACACACACACACACACACACACACACACACACACACACACACACACACACACACACACACACATACATACACACACGCGCACACACACGAACGCACGCACACACATACAGACAAACACATACACACAAAACTCAACACGACACACACTCACTCACAAATATGTTCATATACACACATTACAACAAAACATACACACGCACAAGTATGTACACATACACACAATACAAATACACACACACACTCACACATATATATACATACACATATGTGTGTGTGTGTGAATATATATCAATATCTATATATCTATATCTATATATATCTATATCTATATCTATCTATCTATATCAAATAGATGTTTATACATATTTACATATACATACATACAATATATATGTATCCGTATATCTGTCTGTGTATCTCTGTCTCTGTAGATTGTTCTCTATATTAGCATATACTGCATACTAATGGTCATGCAAATGTGACCTCTGTTCGCCCCGTTGAGACGCCCCGCCTGACCCTTGCCCTCGCTTCCCGCAGGTCTGGTCAACACCTCCGGCGACATCTGGCGGAACCAGCGGAGGTTCCTGCACGAGAGGCTCCGTGACCTGGGCATCAAGACCACCGGCGCCGGACGCCTGCGCATGGAGGAGCGAATCCGGGTAGGTCCTCAGGCCCAGTCATGGCCTCTTTGCCCGGTTGGTTTGGTGTCTTAAGAAAGGCTCAGAATCAGTTTTGCTTCGGGATCCTTCTTTCCCCTTTGACTGACGACCGTTTTCCCCCGCAGAGCGAGGTCATCAGCCTCCTGAGGTGCCTGTCGGCGGGCAAGAACAAGTTCATGTCGGTCGACGAGCTCTTCACCAACGCCTCCACCAACGTCATCTGCACGATGCTCATGTCCATTCGCTTCCGGCCCAACAACCCGAGCTTCCTTCGCTTCATGGAGCTTCACGACGAGGGCTTCAAGCTGTTCCTCAAGTGCGACATCGCCAACTACATCCCGGCGCTGAAGTACGTGCCCTCCATCACCGAGAACTTCCAGAAGCTGATCCGGAGCCGCGACGAGACGTGCGAGATGATCCGCGACATCATCAAGCAGCGGCGGGAGATCTTCGACCCGGAGAACATCAGGGACATCCTGGACTCGTACCTCCTGGAGGAGCACAACGCCAAGCTCGAGGGGAGGGTCCTCTACGAGGGAAAGGAGTTCGGTGAGTAGAAGCCCGGCAGTTGTTGGTGAGGAGGGGGGAGTGAGTGCACAGGGTGAGGACATGGACGACGAAGGCAGCTGGACGATGTCATAACTGTTTTCCTTTGGCCCGCAGATCGCCAGCTCGTGCAGGTCCTGGTCGACATGTTCAGCGCCGGCGAGGAGACCGTGAAGACGTGCCTGCTGTGGTCGCTGGTGTATCTGCTGCACAACCCCGAAGTGATGCGGAAGGTCCAGGACGAGCTGGACGCCGTCGTGGGGCGCTCCCGCATGCCGTCCCTCGAGGACCAGCCTCATCTGCCCTACACGGAGGCCACCATCTGCGAGGTCCTCCGCCGGTCCTCGGTCGTGCCCCTCGGGACGTCCCACGCGACCAGCAAGGACACCGTCCTGGGAGGCTACAACATCCCCAAGGGCGCTACCATCATCCCGCTGCTGTACTCCTGCCACATGGACCCCAACCTGTGGGACGAGCCCGAGAAGTTCGAGCCGACTCGCTTCCTGGACGAGGAAGGGCGCGTCAGGAAGCCGGAGCAGTTCATCCCCTTCGGCGTCGGGCGGCGGATGTGCCTGGGCCACGTCCTCGCCCGCTCCGAAATGTTCCTGTTCTTCACCTCTATCCTCCAGAACTTCACGCTCGGGTACCCCGAGGGCGAGCCTCTCCCCAGCTTGAAGGGCGACCTCGGCGTCACATACACGCCGCAGCCGTTCAAGGTGAGTCCCGACGCTCTGCTAAGGGTTTCGCTGATCACAGAAACATCAAATTCCGCCCTGTCTTCCCTTACAAGCTTTAACTCTCCTGATAATATTCCCTGTCCCTGCATCTGATTTTTGGGAAAGCTGACTCACCAATCCTTCCTTCCTTCCAGCTGCTGTTCATCCCCCGCGAAGGCTCCAAGTTCGGCGAGATCGAGAGGCAGTCGAGCGAATTCAGAACGATGGGCCTGTAAGCCCTCCTCTGACGCGGCATTTCTGGTGCGCCGCCCGCGAGCGCATCTGAATCGTCTTACAAAAGTTCCTGTGCATGGGCTTCAAGTCCTCTCCCGCCCAGCGCCGCCTCCCTCCCCGTGGGCGGAGACCTCTTCGTCACAGGGGAGGGCGTCGGGCGTCGCAGCACGGCCGAAGGCGCTGAGAGAGGCACAGCGGGAGGCGTGGTGGGCTCGGCCCCTCCCCTCCCCGGGACCAGGAAGTTCCACCAAAGACACTCGCAGGTCCTTTTGGGGTCCGGCAACTCATCTGTGATATGTTGATTAGTTTAGAATTATCTGTAATGTATTTAAGCTACAGTTGGTGACCGTGTCCTCGCTCGCGCGGACTCGCTGTGTCCGGACTCTCAGATCTGATCGATGTTCCTTTTGAAGCGAGACGAGGAAACGTTCACCAAGTCGCATTACGTTAGGTCGGGCCGCGGGAGCCTAGTCAGCTCGCGGCCGCGACGCTTCGGCCACGATGTACAAAAGGAGCACAAACTGTGTATAAACTAAGACGGAAAAGGCAAAAGAGACGGTCACGTAGTTGCAAAACTGTAAGTTTTGAGTATGTCTCTTCTAGGGAGAATGAAAACCATTTTATTATTTTATGAAATACCTGTTCATGCTCAATACTGTGCTCAAATAATTTATAAGTGTATAAGAATGTTGTTACAAGACAAACGCGTGAGGCAGACAATAAAATGTTGAATAATA